TTAACTATAGGTCGGGTCGGGCCGGGCTATTTTGACAAAGCCCGGCTCGAATTTTATGTGGGCTGGGCTTTTTGGCCCGTGGTTAAGCCCGCAGGCCAAAATGCCTGTTCAAGCCCATCCGGGGGTCGGGCCACCCGGCCCATGAATAGGTCTACTTGGGTTCTTTTTATAGAGAAGGAATGATAAGTTTAGGATTAGAGAGAAAAAGAGGGGCGGCAGCTGGGTTTTTGTAGAAATATGGGTGCCCCAGGGTTGAGAATGGAGGGTTAGGATTGTTCTAAGGTGATCCTAAGGCTGAGAAGAGAAGGAGAGTGTTTCCAATATTATGTCGGGCTGAGATTTGATCTCTTAAGATTGAACGATGGAGATTTGGGCGCCTAGGACTAAAAGGTGGTGATTAAAAGGAGTGGGTGGCATCCTAGAATGAGTGGCTGAGATAGAGAGTGAAATAGAGGGTTGAGATCTAGTATGTAAAGGCTAAATGGTGGGGATTAGGAGTTAGGTGGTGCCCTAGGGTTAGAATGCTAAAGAGATGGCACCCTAGAATGGAGGGTGGAGATTAAAAGGTAAAGATCTAAGGGTATGAGAGGTTGTTAAGGCTTGGATGGTTGAGATTAGATATTAGGGAAGAATGGAAGGTGAAGATTTAAAAGTTATGGGCAGTTAGGGTTTGTTAGAGGTGAAAAGAATGAATAGGGAGGCGCCCTAGGGTTTGTTAAGGATAGAGGAGTATGCTAATACAATAAGAGGAGCACCTTTTTAGGTTTAGCAGATAGGAGGCACCCTCCTGTGCTCAGTTTTTCACAGAAACACCCACTCTCTTAGCTAGAATTCACACCAGCTTCCCAAAAACTTCATTTCAGCCCTGAAACTTCCCCAGGATTTGCACAGAGACCTTCAAAGGTCACAATATTAGATTTAAGTGGGAAAATGACATATTTTGACTATTCTAAGGTCTAGGTAACCCTAAAATGATGTCCGTTAAGACATCAAAATACAGAGTTATCAATAATAAAGAAATTGAGAGTAGTCACACAATAAACATCTAGGTCTGTTAACAGTCTTGCAAATGAGTGGGTGAAACAAGGGTAACAAGGAATTCAATGTATTTGGAAAATTATACAGCACAGGGGGACTTGTGCTTGATACTGAATCTCACAATGATAATTAAGTCGAGGCTGACAATCCCTCTACTCCTATATACATTAACTTTTCCTAATAAATAAAATTTTCACCATCATTGATAAAAAAAATGAGTAACCTGGCCAGCAATTCATTATCATTGTTGCTCATGGTAGGCAGCAAATGGGGTTCCAGTGATTCACATACCTACTTTATGCTTCAATAGACATGACAGTTTAAAGTGTTTCTCTTTTCATTCTAGATTGATTTAAAAATTCTAAACATGTAACCTAAAATAATAAAATAATACTTATTTCATAACTATATGAATCATCAAACTCAAATGGTTCCATAGAAACCACCAGTGTTTTGAAAATTCAACCAGTTCTCATAAATCCATCCAGTCCAATTACAGGGCTTCTGAAAAAATGAAAACCGGAATTCTAAAATACTGGAAATATTACTAGGTCGCATTCCAAACAGTCCAACCATCTGATCTGGTCCATGTCTGGCAACATTGGTTGTAAATAATAGCACAGTCATGAAATCAAAAGTGATGACTCCAAACCATTCTCATAAATAAAACTACACAGAATAGATGTTTTTTTTTATGCCCACAGGCCCCACATAGAATAGATAGAGAAGTCTCTTTGTTTGTAGTAACTCCACAAAAATGGTGCAGAAGATACTCCAGATTGTTCCTCTCTAATTGCAATATCCTTGAAGCCTTTATATACAATAAAATAAAATATAAAAAAACAGGAGAAATGATGGATATATCACTTGTCTTATTGATCAATAATAATGTGAAACTTGTTTTATTGGATATGCAAAAATGGACAATTACCATGAACAGAGAATCAGAAAGAATTTATAATATAAAACAATATAGTGCTGATAATATCAGATCAAAATAAAATAAAAGTATGCTCAATGCAATTGTTCAGCCCCTGGATGCATATATCATTTTTTATTGGTAATTGAACCTCTTTATTAATTGCAGAAGAATTTATGGTATAATTCAACCATTCAAACGCAATTCCATGTGTTAGTCAAGCTACATATCCCTTGAATCTCTGTCTTTATTGTTTTTAAGTTGCAATTGTATCCTTCTCCCCAGAAATGATTCCTAAATATAATTCTGTTTTTTGACTCATTGTTTAGCAAAATCATCTTCCATACTAGCAAATTATGAATAAAGAGAGTTCAAGAGATGCTTGTTGATGCTCAAGCATGAATTCCTGGCAAGCAAATTGATGTCATAAGTAATCAGCGTTAGATTCAAGTCAAGGAAAAGATTCCAGGGACGAGAAACAGCAAGCTGGGAATTCATGAGAGAGAGAGAGAGAGAGAGTCTTCATCTATTTATTGGCCTGACATATCCATGAGTCAAACAAGCAAAGAAGTTACATTTTATCAAATACCAAAAATTGAGACATATACACCTTCTTAGTAATTTATCAATTCTTTTCTTCTTACTGAATTCGAGCTACTATCTCTTCTAAAATATTCTTTAATTGGTAGCAGTTAGGCATAAAGCAAGTTGGATTTCAAAATGTCAGCACTACCTAAATGAAGAGTATAGCTGCAGTCCCATTGAAAAGTCTAAGAGGGAGATGTAGCATGTACATATTGGAAAATGAATACTTAATTTGACCCTTCTTAAGAACTGACTCCTGACTAGTAGTTATGGTTAAAGGGATAAAAGAAGCAAAAAAAATTCAATTGTTCTAATGTTTAATGAATGTTTTTCTGGATAATTAGTTTCTCCAAATTCAGAATTTCTTGTTTTCAGTTTTTCCTTCCCCTATGCTTTAAATCATCTAATGCATGTTCCTGTATCTTCTTTTGTTTTGAGTTTTGACACTTAATAGACCAAGTACCTGGAAATTCAGAATTTCAGAGTTCCTCTATATTCCATTTTTTTTCCAATTTTACGATGCATTTCTCTTGTGTATATTCATTTCATTTAAACTTCTCATACGAGCATCCTATCTTCTTGACATATTAATCACAGAAAAATGGTAGGGAGTTGGTGAAAACGTGACAAAGAAATAGTCAAATAGCTAATATTGCTACCAATGTGTGTAAAAAGGAATATTTTGGATAAGTGAAGAAGCTTAAGCAGAGGACCTTTCAGCATAGGTTAGGTCTACAGCACAACATTCTGGCTTATGTTGATCCTCTGGAACTGGAAAACCGAATGAGCTGGAGACAATCATGCAAACCAAACTGGGCTACTACTTATCACGAGTGAACACACTGGTGTTCCGTAGAATCCATACACATGGTGCCACCTTATGCATATAGAAAACTGGTGTATTCACTTGTGACAAGTAGCTCAGCCTGATGTGCATGATTTTGTCTCCTGCCAATCCAGATGACACATAAAGAAAGGACTCAGTAAACATGTATGCATGTGCAAACACATGGGAGAGAAGCGACAGAATTTCTGCAAAGATGCATCTCCTGAAAGTGCTAAAATGCTATGCTGCATGACGCATAGAGACCATCCATCAGTCTAGTCCAAAATCAACTGATCAACTTGACTTGTAGGCCAGGTGCCATCATTTTTTCAATCTCTAATTGGTCTTGAACTAAGAATTCCTGACCCTACACAACTTTCTTTGTTATATGGTAGTAATTTCTTCTCTCTGTAGTTCTAAAGTTCTCCAAGCCTGGAACTAGGATTCCTGAATGAAGAATCCTGCTTTCTCACCCCTGGATCTCTTGTGAACTTTGATTGTAGTGGCTATTCATTGGGTTGTTAGGTAGGACTGGTTTGATGGAAAGCAAGGTTGGTGGCTAGTATTGCTTCAAAAATCTGACTAAGTAGCTTTAAATCTAGGGAAGGTTGGTGGTTAGTGTAGATCTTCAATACCATTTGATCAATCTTTGAAAGCTCTGAGACACTAGATTCTGTCAAAAAGGAATGAAATAACTGAGTCTAGCTAGCCCATTTGAAATAAGAGGAAGCACCGTGTCTTGGTGGAATGACTACCACCTAAGGCCTTGATTAAGAACACCGCATTGAAGTATGAATGCATTAGAATTGGTTTTATAGAGAACTGTTGTAAATCAATACATTACATTCTAGCATGAAAATTACAAAGCACAAGCAAAATACGAAGAAGCTAAATGGAAAAATAGAGAGAGTATCTGCTTTGTTTTTGGACCTCTGATGTATTGCTTTCATCCAGGGTACCACCGATAACTCGGGTTTGGCTTCTATCAAGGCAGAGTCCATGTGCACACCGTTCGCGCATCATGAGGACGTGCCACGCGTTCTTTCTCTCGTGTGCGTCCTTAAAATGTGCGAAATGGATTAAACTCCCGATAGCTTCTATTCGCTCCATTCCACTTTCTGCTCCTATCGTTGGACACACTGAACCGAATCAGGTCTGTTTACTCTCACTCTCTCCCACTCCAACCGGCGACGACCAATAGCCAAGTGGGGTAATGATTTCTGTTTACTAATGATGAAATATCTATACTAATGATGAATATAACTATACTCTCACTTCATCATTAGTATAGATATTTCTGTTTACTCCATTACCCAGGTAGAGTAATGATTTTTGAAGAAATCCTGCTTTATAAGGGGATACAAATACCGTTTAGGAGAAGCAAAATTCAGAGTAAGAAAGATGGAGACCCAAGTGGGGTTCTCTTGCTTTACGTGTCAAGAAAAGTTATATTCATCTATGCTAATGATGAAGTTAACATGAAATACCTTTTGATCCATGTTAAGATGGAGACCCAAGTGGGGTTCTCTTTCCAGTTCGTTAACATGAAATATCTATACTAATGAAAGGGAAGTAGAATTGGTATGAAAAATACCAACAATGGAATGAAACAAAGCGATTGAGATCCGAGACTAGATTGATATCAAAATTAAAGGTTTCTATGATTAATTTTTACGCAACATCATGGAACTGTTAAAAGCAGAGCGCATAACTTGAAAGCTGCTAGCGAATCTAGCAGCTTTGGCCAAGCCCTCAAACTTTTTCTCGGTTTTCTCTTCTTTTCCTCCAGGATTATGTGCCAACATAATATTGTCAAGTTGGAAGACACCGTTAGCGGCGAGATTAGTGTCTGGGGGTACCGGAAGAATTGATTAATTCTACGATGATCGCCTTCCCCTCGTCTTCTCAAAATTTTCAAGCAGTGTGCATCATCGCTCCAATCATGACATATCCACTGCAGAAGAATATTTAAACACACAAATAAATGAGAGAAAAAGCAGGAGAGATTTTAATTGTGTTCAGATAGACAAGGTATACAAGGCTATAAATTGACTACATATATAAAAGAATGAACGGAAAATAATTATAAATATAAAAAATTAACTGCATATAGATGAGGTATCCTCCCATGTAATGCTCCACACCTGTAAATAGCAATATCAGAGAGCTAATTAACGATCCAGCAGTCCAGTCCTAATTAATTAAACTGGGTGCGACACTAGCAAGTAGATAGCAGAAGTTGATAGATAGGAGGTGGGTTAATTACTTATGAGGATAGGAGGGTGCGTCTTGTATGACGTGAGGGAGATCAAAGTTAATGGCATTGATACAAGAGTACTGGAAGTGATCATACTGAGCGTGGCTCCTCTTCCACCACCACTGAGTTGAGACTCAAGAATTTCTCCATGGCCGGTTATGGTAGAGTGGTGTGACACTTCCCACTCTTCTCCAGTTACCGGTAGTGGCTGTTGGTCGCCGCCGGTTAGAGAGGGAGAGAGTGAGAGTGAATATGTCTGATTCAGTTCGGTGTGTCTGGTGAGAAAGAAAATGGAACAAGTAAAAGCTAACGGTAGGGGTGCTCACGGTTCGATTAATCGAACCGTGGGGTATTTTTTCAAATCGAATTGATTTGATCGGTTTTTTAAATATGCAAACCCAAATCGAACCGATGCAATCGGTTAACCGGTTCATTGGTTAACTGATGGATCGATTAACCGCAGTTTGATTTTTCGGGGTTTTTTTTTTATACACTTAAAATTAAAAAGAAAAAAGAAAACTAAAACTGGTGTCGGCTGGCTGGTGCCGTTGCTTGTTTTCAGTGCCGGTGGTTGCTGACAAGTATCGCCTGAATGATGGCCTGAGAGGTGGTACCACTGGCGCCTGGCGGAGACACAGAGAAGAGAGGTGAGAGACAGAGAAGAGAGCTGAGAGAGTGGGAGAGTTGGTGCTTGCTTGCTGGATTGGTTGGGCACTTGGACCATTCGTGCTTGCTTGCCAGTGAGGTGGCGATCGTCGTTGTCGTGCTGCCCTGCTGGTGGTTGGCGCAGGCCGCGTGGCCTCTGGAGTGGAAGAGAACTAAGAGAGTGAGAGAAGAAAATACTGAGAACTGAGAAGAAGAAAAGGAGAGAAGAAAAAACTGAGAAAAACAGAAGATTGGCAGTCTAGCACTATGGCGGAGGCAGATTGCCGAACTTTCAATTGAAACTTGAAAGGTTCAAGTTTCAATTTTTTTTTTTTTAAATCTGATCCTTAAGGCTAAAAGTTTCTTAGACTCATAGACTGCAGCTAATAAATTGGTACGTTAGGCGAGGCGCTGAATAAATGAAAATCTTTTATTCGATTTAAAAAAAACTAAAAAATATTATATAATATATATAACATTATATTATTTATATAAATATATATTATTGGTTCGATTAACTGTCTGTTTTTTTGAATGATTAAGCGAAACTATCGGTTCTTTAAGAACACTGAATCAACCGATTTGATTAATAGATTTTTTGGTTTGATTTCAATCGATTTTTTTAGTCACCCCTAGTTAACTGTCACGGGGTAGTTCTACAGCGGAAGAAATTCGTGCGGCATCCTGGCCAAGGCAGGCCAGGACAAGCCTTTATGTGTTTAGAGGCTAGGAGTTACCCGATGGGATGGCTCCACCAAAGTCAGTAGCACTGGATCATGACATCAAGTCCAATGACCGGGGCACTCTCCTGGCTCAGACCGGTCCATGGGAGGCGCCGCTTACGTGCTAAAGGGGGACAACCATAATGGAAGGCAACCATGCGCCGATGA